ATGGGCGGCATCTTCAAGTACTTCGGGCTGCTGCTGATGTCAACAGTTGCATTGTCTTTTTGTAGTCTGTAGTAGCTGTGTAGGAGTAGGCTGGGTGCTGAGCGCCAAGTGTGAGTGTAAGGGAACTGGACTCTTGTGTTGAGAGGAGAGGGTGTGGTCTCCATGAACATTGGTTTTCAGTGCTACGAAACTCCATTGGTGTATTATTGGCGCAATGCTGCTATCTGGACACGGTGTGACTATTTGGATTGCAATGTGATGGTGTGATCTGGGATTGTCATCTCGCTGTTGCTTATTTTCCTTGCAATTTGGTATCGGAGCTGGTTCATATTGCGCTTCATTGATTCTTCGCAATAGCTATTGGTGCTTCGCATGAGGTGTGGGGCAGTGATAAGGCATTGGCGTCGAATGTTAGGCGGCCCAGGGTAGTGTGGGCGTGCCAGGGAGCTATGTGGTGACATACGGGGTGTATGCTGGATGATGAAAACTCGCAGATGTGGCAAATTAAGCCGAAGTTGAACCGCATTCTGCTGTTGGTTGTGCTAAGGCAAAGACCGGTCATCACAATTGCACATCAGGTTACCGGTGAGAAATCTGTGGTTGGGGGCAGCATTAATGAGGTTCGTTGCTCTCTTCCTTATCTACCCTCTTCATCTCTTGTTACCGTGAGGAAGTGAGTTCTGTCTTGAGGGTCCTCTCGATGTGAGGTGTCGCGAGCGCTCAACCTTGAGAGTCGACATTCTTCCTGGGCAGCAAGCTGGTGGGAGAAGGGCGAAGCCTCTGAAGGGCCCTGGACGAAGCACTCGGGGCACGGTCACCATGCCAACCCGCTGGGACTAGTACACGCATGCTTGGGCGCAAGTCCTTGGTTCTGCTGCTTGCGCAATAGAGGTCTACCTGGGCATGCCAGCCTTTTAGGAGACGCTTACCAGACCGTTTATAAACATTTCTGGTTGGGGACTCGGATCTGAATCTGGCTGTGATCGTCGTCCTGACTGCGACGTTAAATAATTTCTGAAGAGATGGGGGCGCTCTTAATATTCCTCCTGATCAGCCAGATCAACCGGGTGTAAGGCTCGTTTCCGTACGAGGGTAAATAAGAGTGGACTGGCTGGCATGTTCGGCAAAGACTCGGGGCACAGGGGTGGGCCGGATTGCACACCTTCAGACAAGCTGCTCAACCAGATGCTCAGGAACGTTGACACAAAGTGACCAATCAAGAAGGATACAGGGGGAGGGGGGATTCCGGTAACTGTTCACAGAGGCAATCAACTATCAATCTGCCATCCACTATACATCTCCAACAGGAAATGTTATTTTTATTTTGATTATCTAGTCGCTAACAACTGACAGACTGCTACAGATAAATTAGATCTTTGCTGTAGTGCAATCTGTTCCAGTGTAATCCAAAAATAGAATTAATATATCCTGTAGGATCTGACATTAGTTGTAACTACATCACCTAACTATTTCTGTTTCAGCCGACCGTAAGTAGTTGTGTATCATATGCGGATGTGTGTCAAGCTAAGGTACGATTCAGTGTGGATTCTAGTTTAGATCACACACACTGTAGCTCATGAGTGATGCAAGCACAAGTGAGGAAAAGTTACTAGTGGACGACCGTAGGACTTCTCGCGGGACTGCCTGCAGTCGACCCTTGACATTCCAGGAGACGAGAGAAGATTGAGGAGAGAGGCTAGAGAGAGGACAGCGACAAGGAGAGTGAGGGCAGCTGAGGACAGTGCTAGGGCTAGAGTTTCAGCTAGTATAAGTGCAGCCATGGCTACCTCATCTATGACGCAACCCTCTACACAGCCCACTTCTTCAGGAGTCAGTCAGAGTGGTTCTCAGGTTCCCATTAGTCAGATTGGTCACGTGTGAGTCAGTCAGTCTCCACTCACGCCGGAGGACTTAGAAATCCGGCAGGCAGAAGAACTTCAGGATGAGTTACAGCGGCAGATGGACGATGTGGTAGAGAGGAGAAGGAAAGCTATGCAAAGAAAGGCTAGACTAGAGAGTAGAGCGCAGGAGGTAGGCAGATTGGAAAGACTAGATGAGTCAACATTAGACCCTGCTGTCCGTGTGCTGCGAGGCGCCTTACTTTCAGTGGCGGAAGCGCAAAGCGTTCAGCAGGAATTGTTGGCTGCTTTGGTAGCAGACCAGAAACAAATTCTGGCTGAACTTCGGGGCACTCGCCCAATAGTGAGGCCCCCACAGTTTGCTGTAGTTCCCCCTGCAGGTGCGGGTCCATCATCAATGCCGCAACGCACAAGGCAAACTTTCTCTCCCATGTTTGGCATGCCCTCCCCGGGTGGTTTAGTAGCAACTAGTGGTCCGGTTCATTCAGTCTCAGCCGTACCATCTACGACAGTGGTCACTACAGTCCCACTGT